TTTGATTATCGAACAGGTTTTTATTACGATCAAGAACTGATGAAAGTTAGAATTCAAGCAAATTAAACAATCTCCCTTACTATATATTGATAGTTATCATGTGCTCACCAGTGACTAGTTTGGAGAGAAAATTTGTTAAGTTCTAGTAAGAGTGTGTAGCGAGTAAGGAAAATACTCATCGCATACACTGAAAGATCGTCGTAAAACATCTTGAGTTGATTGAAGTTAGATATTTACACCAATGGATTACGGCTCATTGATAAGGTTATTAATTCACACTCGTGACTGTAGGTCATGAATTCAATCTCTGTTTGTGGAGTTGTGAATGTACACTACTGAAGAATGCTATAATGAGACGAGACAGTTACCCAGTGTTCTTTAGTTTTTTATTGGTTGTTTTACTTAGATTAGTTTAAAATCTAATTGACATCAAAAGATCACTACCATTTCTTTATTGGTATCAGATAGATGGTAATTTCTGATACCGAACACTTTCGGACTGTGGTTTGGGTTACTTATATCCATATATGTAGTATATAACGGTGGTCAGGCATAGAATGTATTTCAGTAGAAGATCGATAAGGACAGAACGGAAACGGAACGCAATTGGTATGAAAAAACATGAACAATGAAATCTGAGACGATGGATTGATATTTGCAAAAGGAACAGTCAAGTTTGAGACAATTGATTGATATTTTGCAAATTAACTATTTACTATATGGTTCTCAAATTTTATTCAGATGTTCTGTAGTTTCGTATCAAATACATTCGATTGTCCCTACTTGTCTTCTTGTTCGCTACAGGGCGTGTAAAACCAATATACGTACGTACTTACTTAGGTTTGTTACTCACAATGGGGCATAGACCGTTGACCAGCATTCCAGTTCTATCCAATTATTGTTCATTTTTCTCACGTCTGTCTTCATTTCATGGCGTAATGTGTTCTTTGGTCTTCCTCTCCTCCTTTGGCCTTGAAGGTTCCATGTGAGGGCTTGCCTTGTGACACAGTAGGGTGTTTTCCTCAATGTGTATCCTATCCACTTCCAGTGCTTCTTCCTGATTTCTTCCTCCTCTGGGATCTGATTTGTTCTCTCTCATAAATTTATTTATGTATCCAACAAATATTCCTATCTATTAATTCTTTTTAACGGAAATCATACCATAGAAGACTAATCAAAAATCAAAAATTGAATGTTTATCAATATATTTTTCATACAATTCATAACATTCAATAAAACATAACGACAATCTAGGAATCTATCAACTGTTCACATGATGCACTTGGTATTGTTCGGCTCGTATCTTCCCATTGAGGTTTAAGTCTGTAATTGATCAGTCTGTTATTGGCATATGTGAATATTGTGCGTATGCCTCGATATTGCCTTAATTCAAAAGCTTTTTGTAAGCAATGATGGATAGTGGCTAGCAGTGGAATCCAGGACGCGCGTTTCGTCCTATTTGGGATTCGTTTCAGAAAGTTGATGTTCAATCTGGAACTCGAACCCAGTACCATTGGCTTCAAACTCCATCGCGTTATTCACTCAGCTACTGAGTCCTGTTAGCCACTTGCTTGTGTTTACATGATGTATTTACAAATTTATCTTTCAAATATAAAATGAAAACTTCATCCAGACAATCAAAGTACTTCATCTTTTTTTAACTACTAGCCAGTTTAAACTGTATATAGTGCAAAGAAAATTGAATATACTTTATGTATAAGTCCATAGGAAATGCATAACATACATTTGTTCTATTACCGTCTCTTATATGTACAATTGTATTTATTCCTATTTTCTAGTATCTAATATCTTTACATTTTTTTTTGTCATACAATACAAGTACTTTAGAAAAGTTTATTTTGAATGATAAAAAAGTGTCAAGAAAGAGTATTCGGTCAAGGTCATGGTGTTTTAAAAGCAATGAAAAGAATCATTTCTATGATCAAATTAGTAAATACATTGACATAGTGTTAAGAATCACAAGTGTGATTGTTGTACAACTTCATTATCATTGTTAAATAAACTAGGTGATATGCAAAAAAAAAAAACGGTCAGTAATAATATTTATGAAGTAATTAAATATAAAACAATTAGTCCTTTAGATAAATTTCAATAATGCAATGATTACATTATGGAATAGTAATACAATAAATAGTCATCTGTTTGGTAAGATAACAAATCACTAGAGTTCAACAATTTACATTACAACTTTAGCTAGATAGATAGATAGATGGATACACAATGCTAGTAAAAAGAATCTGAAATAAAAGAAATGGAAAGAAAAAAGATCATAAAGGAAATTTACAAACCGACTTCTCGATTCGATTACGTAGAATATGTGCAAACTGATTAAATTTCATTACATTTCAAACTACTTACCCATCGCAATTTCCTAATCGTATACAGAATTTTATGATAAATTCTAACTGAATCCATACTTTGAAAGAAATAAATACATTTGAGATGGTGGAGAAGATTTGTAGCTCAGGTGGCTGATTTTCATGGATATCGATATACTGATAACAAAATTGAATGTTTTGTTTTATTTACTTACTTAAATCTGTTACACCTCGTGTAGGACAATAGGCTTCTCATCAGCATTCTCCATCTAACTCTGTCCTGGACAATCCTTTGTCAGTTATTTCCAGTTCCTGTTCATTCTTTTCTTGTCTGCTCCCAATTCCCGACGCAGTGAATTCTTTGGTTCTCCCCTTTTCCGTTTTTCTTCAGGATTTCAAGTGATCGCTTGCTTCATGATGCATTTTGATGATTTTCTCAATGTATGTTCTATCCACTTCCAGCGTATTTTCCTGATTTCTTCTCCAGTTGGAAGCTGGTTTGTTCTATCAATGGACGCTGAATATCTTGAGTAGACAATTGTTTATGAATACTTGTACTTTTTTGATGATGATTATAGTAGTTCTCCAAGTTTCAGCTCCATGCAGTAGGACTGTGTTGACGTTCTTATTCAAGAGTCTGATTTTGATATCCGTTCTCCAACTGTGAAAATGCTGTCTGTTTAACCAAATTATCCTATTTTCAGATGGTATATTTTAATTCCAATAAATTTACAATTCAACTCAACTCAATAAAATTCGGTTGAATAACGGCTGCTCATAAAAATATTTAAGATAATAGTAAGTGTATAACTTATAATAAATTGTATACAGATCATATGCATTGAATGTGTGATGAAAATGATATTCGATAAAATCAACATCAGAGTATTTCTCTTCAAAACATCAAACAGACTAAAAAGTAATCTCAATTCTTATAAAAGATACAATAGTCAACGATTCATACTTTAATTATGCTTACATAGTAAAATGTTCTGACTACTATGCAATATATATCGGAGATTTTTTTCAAGAACCTTAGCTCAAAAACATTGTAAAACTGTCGTTCAACTATAGAGAAACCCATTAAAATTTGAAAAAACAAACTTTGATGAGACCATAATTTATGGACGACATCTGAGAGACGTTAGACTAATTTTGAGAGTGTTCACTTAATAACCAGGATGAAATGAGGGTTATGAACCTGTGTGAGGCATTATAATTATAATTTACATTTGATGATTAAGCTTAGGAATTAAATTTCGAGTTTTCATCACGAACTGACATCAGCTACAATGCCAAAACTCTATTTATCCAAATGGATGAGTGAATCCGAGACCTGTTATCTTATACTTGATTGGTTCATCCATAAATTATAGTCTAGTCAAAACTTTTACAAAATCCTTCATCTCAAGCCTACACTGGATTGATTTTAACAATACTACTAAAAAAAATCAGTAGTGTTTCATAGCACAAGTGCTTCATATAGAGTGTCTTTCAAATTGCTTGAATAACAATGAGGGAAGAAAATAAAATATGGCCTGACTTTAATACTTTCCTCACACAATTTTACACTATCAACACACATATGGTAATACCTTTTCTTTATATAAACAGAGGCTTGTTTTGTGTATCATATACTTATGAAACCTAACAATTTACATATGTTTGTTCTCTTTATCGATTCATTCATTCATTCAGTGACTAAGAAATTTAATCCAGTTATGAAGTATAAAATAAGTTGAGATACAGTTGTTGGGATTAAATAATGAAAAGTCAGTAAAAATAGTTTTTTTTTTACTTTTGATCAGATTGTGGATATGCACTACTGAGTAGTTCTATACACTATGACGAAATTGTTGCTCAATACTTCCTAGCTCTTACAGATCATTGAACCAAGAGCATACAGTGATGTATTTTACGAAAAAAAGTCTATTCATTCAATCATGCGTTAACTTAATTTTGTCGAACGATTATCGGTAGATATCTAATAGAAATGTTAGTTGATCTGCAAAAATCATGTCTGTTAATTTACGGTAACTTTTTGTTTATCGACTGAAAAAAAACCTTTATTTACAAATGATAGAGTAGTGGATTTGTCAACAGAGTATTCGGTTTCTCAACATCAAATCATAGGCTTGAACATGAAACATGCCATTTTTCGGTTTGATCACTTGAATGATTATGGATCGCTCTTGTACTAATAATATTTGACTAAAATTTAAGTACATTAATCTAAAGATAGGACTCAAATCTATCATGTAAACCACTCACTCCGTCTGACTTCATACTGTGGTGAACAAGAACAGAAGTGGAGACAATCGAATATATTTGATACGAAATTACAGAACATCTCAATAAAATCTGAGAACCATATAGTAAATAGTTAATTTGCAAAATATCAATCAGTTGTCTCAAACTTGATTGTACCTTTTGCGAATATCAGTCCATCGTCTCAGATTTCATTGTTCATGTCTTTTCACACCAATTGCGCTCCGTTTCCGTTCAGTCCTTATCGATCTTCTACTGAAATACATTCCATTCCTGACTATCGTTATATACTACTTATCGAAATATAAGTAGCTCACACCATAATACTACTTAAATTCATTCTACCAATCGATTTTCATATGATTTTTTCATCTATTTTATTTCGATTTATAGGAGTTTCATTCGACGTAAACAATTATTGAAAAGAAGAAGAAATCCTAAATACTTATATTGTTCTAAATATCCTAAATCAAAACCAATTAATCATTGTTATATTAAAGCTAATAATTCATGTTATTGGTCACCAACTAAACCTAAACATAGTCATTCATTTTCAATATGGTCTGAAAGTCAACCATTAAAATATCATCCAAATAAACATCGAATATCTTCTACTTCATCATTGAATCAATCTAATTTCATGATGAATTCATCACAATCTCATTTTTATCCAAATAATCATTTTATAAAAGATTCCAAGTTTATTCCTCGTCAATCTAATTCATCAAATAATGTAATTAATAATAATAATAATGAACGTAATTTTATGAAGTATAATTATCATCAACATGATGAAATATATGGAATGAGAAATCATATGAATATTGGTTATTTAGAATATAATAAACGAATAAATAATGCCAAATCAACAATGTTACCAAATGCTCAAAGGTTAATAGTGTAAGTAAAAAAAAATACTTTTCATGTATTATTCTACTGAATTGTTAAATTTCCATTTGGAAATAATAACTAAATTTTCATGTATGAATGTTTGCTTCTTGTTAAAAGATAAATAGAGAAATATTTTATTGATGGAGATCATGAATGGATTGATGTTAGACCACTATTGAAAACCTGAAAGTACTGGACAGTCGTTTCGTTCTATTGTGGGACTTCTCAGCAGTGCACGTCCACGATCCCGATCGCGGGATTCGAAAAATGAGCCTTCAGTTTTGCGCACGAACGCTTAACCATTAGATCACTAAGCCGGCCGACATCTAACAGTGTTAATATCTGAGCTTAACCATCTTCCATTGTACTGAGGTAGATACCTGTCTCTACCCGACACGGATTAGCTCCACTGGTCACGGCTTCTTACTGGAACTCCGAGAATTCCCTCACGAAATGAGTCATTAGCGAGGACATGGTAACAACAATTGATTCAAGATCTCAGTCAATAACTTAGTAATCTCCACAACACTATACTGATAGAGAAGGATTCAAAAAAAATTATCTTGGTAATTACCTTGACAACATGAAAATTTTTGACTCAAACTCCTGTAATCTTGTGTATTCAATTTTCTAACATTTATTTTTATCGATTTCTTCATCATTCAAGTTTTTTTATTCTCTTGGAATGGTTAAAATGTCATAATCCAGATATATCGCACTGATTGATTGTTTGAAAACATATCACAGTGCGATTGATCTCAAGCAGTAAAATAAATTATTGTTTCAAGTAACTGTTAGTTGGTTGAGTTTTTTTTACTTAAATATGCCTTAGTCGACAATAAATCACGACATTTTACGCTAATGTGTTTTATCAGTACAGAGCTATGAAGATTGCTGGATGTTACTGCGATTTTTAAACGACCTAAGTGGGACAACCAATAAAAAAGTAGGGAAACACTCGAGAACTGTGGCATTCTTCAGGAGTGTACATTCACATCTCCACAATCAGAGATCGGATTCATGACCTTCAGTCTCGAGTGTGAATGAATAACCTTCTTATCAATTTGATCCTTTCACCTCTTTATGACATAATACCTTCTAGTTGTGTAATCAGTAGATTTCTTTTATTTATATAAATTATTCTTCATATTTTAGAACATCTTTTTCCTGCTAAACACACGTCAATATAGAAACAAGGTTGTTTAGTAAATCTAAGTGATAAGATACCAGAAAACTTATTGCAAATGCTTCAGTCATTTTTCCTACTGGAACTCATGTTTGAGATAATAGTTGTTGTCCCATTGTCGATAACATTTAAGTAAACTGACCGTTTTTGGAGTCATTTATTAGTGAATTTTTATCATTAAAGAAGTAAAATATCATAATAATCTGCCTGATAGTGAATCCGTGTGTGGTAACCATCCATACACTGCATACTTCTTGTTCTCAATAGTATTGTTTCATAGTGAAATAAACAATTTAAACCAGTCTTAATGTTTAGCTTTGATTGTACTTACTAAAGAGTATTTCATATATTGGAGGAATTTCTTAAAGTTCACTTTTGAAAATTTATAGGGGATTTTCCCCTTACAATAAACATGTCCACATAACTATATTGTAATTTCGGTACAATATAGAATTTTCAGGACAAATTATTTCAACATGTTACCTTCCCTTATTTCTTAATCGATCCTGATGATAAATTTCGAGTGATCGCCAGTTAGATGTTAGCAGTTTAAGAATTGACATTTGAATAATGTTCATTGATTTTGATGCATATTGTCAGCTATCATGATGTCTCTGATTGTACTTTTTTGTAAGTTGTACAGTGTAAGTTCGTAAAGTTTTCGTAAACGCACCTGAATAAGTTATGCCATTGATAGACATATCGATGTGTTAGAACAAACAAAGAAACAGACAACTTGTTGAAATATCTAGATGGGCGGAGCAAGTAGCCCTATGACTTTTTAAAAAACAACCCAGCTTTTGTGCATCCTTATTGATGTGAAAACATAATTTCAGATATAACGTTATTTGTCTTGTTACTTTACAGGCCATCAAAACAATCAAATCCTTCAGCTATAGGAAATCAATCAATGTTTTTCAATTCACAAAAAATAACAAATGAAATTGATATTACAGATTCTGAAACTCCTACCACTGAATTTACTGAAAGTTCAAAATCACATAAAAGTATATCACAGATTAATGTATATCGAAAAGGTAGAAGTTTAAGTCCAGCTGATATAACTAATTTCAAAGAATCAAAATTTCATTTCAGTTCAAAACCACGTTTTTCATTAGCTGAATCTGATGAAATGAATAATCAACCTATTGAAAATAGTCAATCGTCTGGTTTTCGTGATGTGGTATGTTGAAGTTATCTTTTGTTTTATAAGTTAAAGAAAAGAGTAGATTGAAATAAAAATTCACTAAATTACGGTTACCTATTCTATAATTATGTCAAGTTTACGTAATATGAAATGGGTGAAAAAGCTTCAAATCTAAATAAATAACAAAGATGGTTAGTGGGTAGTAATGGAATCCAAGACGCGCGTTTCATCCTATTCGGGACTCCACTGCTACCCACTAACCATCTTTGCTTAAAAAGCTTGTAACTTAAGGCTATATCGAGACAATCCGCACAGGATGCACATATGTCAACATGAGACTGATCAATTGCAGTCTTAAATAACAATGGGAAGATACAAGTAAAACAGTATCAAGTCAATCTAAACAAATAAAGTTTCAATTACATAATCAGTCTATAATAATAACAGGAATAAATTCTAATCTCCTGAGAGATTTATATTAAATCTCCTTATTTGTTACATAAAATCATTTTGTATAAGTGAATTTTCAAAATTAGTTCACAGAAGAGAAATGAATAAAACAAGCAAACAAACAAATCAGAGGCTAATCCTATTTGAAAATAAGAGATATAAACAATAGAAAACCATTACCAATGTTACAGGTTTATTTATTATGTCTAGTAAATTCATAATGTTTATGACGAATACGAGTGAAACCATATTAAATTTCTAACATTACTGTGCTTTTGTTATTATTATTATCGATGAACGAAGTAACTTTCGTTGAATTTTTATTATAGATATTAATGATACACAGATTTAGTGTTTACGATAGTAAGTACGAGATTCTCATATCATGATCTCAAATAAAAGAATTCAGTATGGGGTTGTAGACATGATTAATTTCTCGATTGAGATCATGAACCGATTAGTGTTAAACCACCATAGAAAACCTGGAAGCACTGGACAGCCGTTTCGTTCTATTGTGGGAAATCTCAGCAGTGCACATCTACGATTCCTCCCGTGGGGTTCGAACACAGGGCCTTACGTCTCGAGCGCGAACGCTTAACCTCTAGACTACTGAGACGGTACTTAGCGGTGTTAATGTCTAACCCCCACCAATCCACGAAATTGTGCGAACATCTTCCATTATATTGACGTAGATACCTGTCTCAACTTGACACGGATTAGCTCCATTGGTCACTGCTTACGATTCCCAAATTAGAACGAAATGGCCATCCAGTACTTCCAGGTTCTCAATGATGATTCAACATCAATCGGTTCATGATCTCAATCAAAAACTTAATGATCTCCACATCACTATACTGATATTTACTATGTGCTCACCAGTGACTAATTTCGTGAGGGTGTTCGCGGAGTTCTAGTGAGAAGCCGTGACCAGTGGAGGTAATCCGTGTCGGGTAGAGACAGGTATCTACCTCAGTACAATGGAAGATGGTCGCGCGATTTCGTGGATTGGTTGGGGTCAGACATTAACACCGTTGATGCCGGCCGGCTTAGTGGTCTAGGGGTTTCTCTCCCCGGGGTAAACGATTCTAGGATGCAGGTATATCCACCTAACGAGTTCTAATTAGGATGAAATACTTGTTTCAGATTCCACTGCTAGCCACATCTATCTCTTTCTGAAAGTAACGTAAAATATTCGAAAATTGAATGAGTCTAAAGAGACTAGACTAGAAATGTGTTTTTCGTGACCAACAATCAAAAGTCCCAACTGGTGGAGTTTAACCATGTCGAGAGTTATATATGTATCATTATGATCACCGAATGATCATTATACCATAACTCGAATAGAATCAGACAGAAAAATTGCCATACCAGATTCTAATTTACTAGTTGGAATTTATCTTGACTGCAGTTTAGGCCTTCAGGCCCTGAGTACAAATATGTATTACATAAATAGTGAACATTACTAACGAGCCACAAACTAGGAAGAAACAACATTCTGAGCCTCCATAATTTTGTTGTTTTTCACCAAGTGATGCTAATTAGTGATAAAAACCATCTATCGACGAAGATCTAATCTATCTGTGATTTCAATAAATCACATGTTATCATTTTTCAACTGGACACATCACAATAACTTGTAAGGAAATGAAAACGGAAATCCTAGTCATTGATTTACTAAATCCATGGCTAAATAGAAAAAGGAACATCCTATCAAACCACAGAAAGTGATTATGTAGGTGATTGGATGAGCCAAATGTTCACTACTTGATAACGTTTTGGTAATCAGTCATTTGAAGTCATATCACATATAATAACATCGAGAATAAAACCTTTAGACCAATAAGTTTGCATTCAGTCAATGTCATGAATTTATCCCACTAACTATGAAACTGCTAATACTGTTTATTATAAAATCCAACGATCGATATTCCTGGCAAATTCCTTCACTGTTTCTCTGATTACTAATCAGAATATCGGGGAAACTGTCTAAGTGCCTCATATTATTATGCATTACTCAGACTTTAAAACTTACGTAATCGTATACATGAAAGTCAAGACCTAGATACATTATTTATAGTAATTTGCAGTATTTGTATAACCAGTACAGTTATAGTATAAATTTGAAAAACAGGTTTATCATTTATTACCGATAATATTTTTGACGGGGAAGACAATAGCATTAGTTGATGAGTCAAATGGAATCCTACAACGAATATAATACGAAAATATCATAAACAAGTTGTTTGATAAATACACGTTAAAAATATAGATACTTATGCTTAATAGAATAGCATCTGAAGTTACACACCTTTAATAATTCTACTTCCTCCCCATTGTCTTAACATAGTTTATATTTAATTTTTCGAGAGTCTCTATAGTGGTAAGATTGAAGTATAGGACCGAACCAATTGAAAATTGAATTACAGAATTTTAATTCAATAATTTATAGGTAACATGCTCGTATTGAGCTTGAAAGTACTGGGTTTGATTTCGTGAGGGTATTTGGGTCTTCACTGTTGAAGAGGATCATGAATTAGTTATCCAACTTTATCTGGTTTTCTGTAAATTTCCATTAACCTTAACTCAAAATTACTTAAATTATTTAGGTATACTTCATTCATGTGATTGAATAACAATGAAAAATTCATTATTATTTTGTGTATCACGGGTAAACTGTAAAAACAATGGAGTGAAATGATTTATCTTTTCGAATTTTTATCTTGGTTTAGCGTATAAAAAACATGATTGATTGGGAGATTGTTGAAAAATTACTGTACGTTTGGATTTCAGGAAAAGTTCTCACAAGACTCAAGAATACTCTATGTTAATGAGTGTTTTAGCTCACGCGACATCTAGAAAGAGAGTTTCATGTGACTTATCTCTAATCACTGAGTTCTAAATCATAATTATGTTATTTGTTTATAATTTAAAGTTTCCTCTCTTTTTTTTTCTTTGACACATGTAGATTATTGACTGTAGTTCACTGGAAAGTGCTATCAGTTATCCAGTACAAAACTCTTGTTCACATTTAAATGACAATAAAAATCTAGACAGTTCATTAGAGAGTCGAAGTTTGATGTCAGTTTACCTAAATGATGTTGCACAAAAAAATCGAATTATCACTCCTACAGTTACGATTACTACTACCAACATCAATAATACTGTTAGTGAAAATAACACTAGTACTATTCATAATATCTCTATGGATAATAGTAATTATAACAATGTTATCACATTATCCCCATTAAATCTTCCAAAAATTGACACAGGTATTCTCAATGATGAATTATACAATAGTGAAAAAATGAATTCATTTGAAAGTAATCAATTGACCTATTCTGCCAATACTGATCATAATCATATGGATCAGCATAATCATTTCACTAATGACTTCCAATTACCAGTGATTAAAGAAAAACCTAAACGTCCAGTTCTATGCTTATTTAGTGCTAATAAATATAATCAAAAAAGACATCTTAAACGTAATAATTCAATCAGTAATGATGATAGTAATGATGATAATAATGTTGATGATGACAACAATAATGGTAATATTCATGATACTAAACAAGATATTGATGTAAGACGTTTACGTCAAGGTACAAATATTTCCACTACAAAATTATCAGTTAATAATCAAATTAATAGAATTATTGGAAGTAGTAATAATATCAATAATAATGATAATATTTGTAATCATAATTTAAATTTATTATTATGTAATACAAATGAATGTAAAAGTTGTGTAAATTTACAAGCATATGAATTATCCCAAGATCGTTATCGTAATCCAAGTAGTGGATCAACTGTTAGTCAAATACCAAGATCTGATTTACCAGATGTTTACCTGAATGTAAGTTATCAGTGTATGTTGTTAATTTATTACAATTAAGATCTATTTATCTAGTTACATTATTATCAGAATAGGTTTTGTGGAGATTTTAGAAATTTCACTGGTTGAAATCATGAGTCAATTGAAGTTAGACCACTATGGAAAACTTGGAAGCACTGGACGGCTGTTTCTTCCTAGTATGGGACTCCTCAGCAGTGCGCATCCACGATCACACCCCCGCGAGATTCGAACCCATTCCGACAATAATCACCTGCTCACTAGTGACTGACTTCAGGAGATACTCCTGGAGTTCTAGTGAGAAGTCGTTATCAGTGGAGTTCAACCAGGTCTGTTGTGAGATAGGAACTCACTGAAGACAATGGTGTACGGTGGCGCAACTTCATCGATTGGTTGAAGTTAGACATTAACATCGTTGGATTTAGGACAGTTCAGTTGTCTAGTCGGTTAAACGCCTGGCACGAGACTGATAGGTCTTGGGTTCGAATCTCGCGGTGGGCGGTATCGTGGGTGCGCACTGCTGCCGAGTCCCTTACTAGGACGGACCGGCCGTCCAGTGCTCCCAAGTTTTTCATGGTGGTCTAGCTTCAATTGACTCATGATTTCAACCAGTGAAGTTACATTATTGTTATTATTGTGCGTTTTTTTAACAATACTTAAGTAATAAAAATTATGAGGCTGTTAAATTTTGTATTTCGTCTTCATTATAACTGATGAAAATGCTTATTGCTTATTGCGTTTGCTCCGAAAGGTATTGGGTTTGAAAACGCTCATATATCATTTCATCTGCTCGAAAGCATAAACTTTGTCAAAGGATAGAATTTCATATACAATTAAAAACCTTTGTTTATGGTATATAGCACCTAAGATACAAAAGAAACAATACTTAATAAGTGAACATTCATTTAATCTGGTAAACACTGGATAGCTGTTTTTTCCTAGTATGCGACTTCGTAACTTTATCAAAGATCGATATTTTTATCTAGCTTAGTGAACTGAACCCAGATATATACTACGGGACTCAGACTCACTGGTCTGTAGACTAACCGTTAGTACTCTGGACCGTGGGTTCTGGGTCCAATCCTGTGATGGAGTTGTTGGTGTATACAGTTGAGTCCCATAGTAAAACTAAGAGGCCCTCCAGTGCTTCCAAGTTTTCGATGCTTATCTAACTTAGATTATTATGGGATTTTAACAAGAAAAATAACATATCTGTCATTGGAAGTGGTGTTGTTACAGAAACAGAAACCAAGTTTATTCAGCAGTCACAATAAGTTCCAGACAATGGTAACGTAAATGCTGTTTGACAACGATATTAATTACGGTTATATAAATTGAAAATTATAAGAACTATTTTTCATTCATAATTTCATTGACCAAGCACGAAGATCCTGAGCTCAAAGCACGAACTTTAAACCACCGAACAAGATAGTAGCTACAGATAAAATGACGAATAAAGAGATTTTTTAGCTAAAGCTTGAAACATTAGTACTATTGAATCATACCAATTATACCAGTACATCAACTCGCTGGACATTGACTTAACAGCTGGATAGTATACCACATTGGAACAGAACAAAAGTATGTCATATCATTTGAGAATAACTAAAACTGTTCTACTTTATATAGATTGTGTTAGAATTCGATGCTCTATATATCACCATGGGATACTTATTTTTATTATGATGGTTTTCTGTCTACTTATAATTAATAAGTAACATAAAAATGTTCTTGTGATTAAGATCATGAACCGATGAACGTTATACCACCATTGAAAACGTGAAAGCAGTGGGAGGTCGTTTCGTCCTAGTACGGGGATCGTCAACAATGTGAATCCGCGATCCCTGATGCGCATGATCTCAGTCAAAAAACTTAACAATTTTTACAACCCCTCACTGATAAAAATTTTCTTCAAACATGTTAGCTACCTAATTAACTGACTAATATAAAAAATTTTCATTTATAGCCACCATCAATGTCGACTCTACAGTCTCAACGGAGCAGTTTATGTGGCAGAAGTAGGATGGAATTGTTATATGTGGATAATGAACTAGATAGAACCAACAATGCTAGATGCAAAATTAGTAAAAATGGAATAATCAGTGCATCAAACTTGGGCGAAAATTTATCAGACGTGATTGGCTCTGATCACCGTTTCTCTGTGCAGCATACAAATGGAGCTAGTGACAACTGGAGCTTGGTCGATGAGTTGGTTATTTTTCCTAAACCACAAACTCTTGGATTGGTACGTAATCAAACATTTAATGCAAGAAACACATATCATCAACCATTACCTCAATCATCTTCAAATTTGGCGCCATCCTTTTTTAAACCATATCAGCTAACCGATGATAATTTCGGTAATTTACCAGTTAAAGATAAAGAGCATCACATTAGTATACAACAACAACTTAGAAGGGCATTAAGTTTATCATCTAGACGTAAGTCACCTCGTTCATTGAATGAAGAAATTCAATCAATCATGGATAAACACTACGAAATGACAGGAATTAGAATGACAATTGGTAGTGGATCGTCACAGAAGAATTCAACGACTACCAAGTCATATATAAATTTATTTGGATTGCAGACAGGCAATAAGACCCAACCATCTAGACCAAGAGTAAGTTTAAAACTTTTCATTTTTCTGTATTTTTCCCAATTACATCAGTCAATCTTAGACGCTGTGTCAAAAAGGTTTTCTCGTCGAACATTTTAACAGAGATATCGTCAAAGTTAAACTCTTATATAGTCATACTTGATTCAGGTATTTATGATTTATAAATCACTTAAAATATAATTTCGTCACAAATTAATATCCCGTGAAGAACAATTAAAAACCATGAAGTACTGAATACCTGTTTGGTATGAAGTTTCTTAACTGCATACGCTGTTATAACTTGTGACCGCCGATTAGAGAGCAGTGACCTATCAATCTGATCAATGACGCGTAAAACCCGAATGAGCAGTCTAGAGTCCTTAATGGTCCTACTTTCCGCCTAGCCCAGCCAGTTATGTCCAGAACACCAATCCAAGCCTCTGCGATATCAATCATTATATTTCAAACATACTGATTTTAAATACCAATCAAACAGACCACAAAATACCACCAAAAAACAACGTTTGTACGAAATTTGGCCAAATTTGGCTGTGAATGTGGGAGGCAGTGACAAATAAATAGGGCATAATTCAAGAATGGTAAAACGTATAACAATAGTTTATGGGTCAAAATAAAACTTATAATAAGAGGAATATAATATGCATAGTTTAACTACTTACTAATTATGCAGTGAACAGAACACGGGTGGGGACAATCGAATATATTTAACACACCATTACAGAGCATCTCAATAAAATCTGAGGACCATATATCAAATTGTTAATTTTCAAAATGTCCACCAACTGTTCCAAAATACCTCAGACTTCATTTTTCTTACATTTTCATACAAATTGCTTTCTTGATCTTTCCTCATCTTCTGCTGCCAGACATTATATTCGACTCGCGTCATATACTACTTATATCAATATAAGTAGCGCGCACTACAATTTTACAATGGAAATATACGTTAAGTATTGGTCCATAAATGGATCCCAAACATTAACCATTCATTATTCTTTCCGGGACATAACATACACCCATAATCCCTCCAAGAACCAAACCTGAAGCCTGCCGAAAATACAACTGGAGCATAACTTAGTTGAAACCTGGTAGTCTGTAAATTCAAACTTCATTCAATTTCGTGATATTACACTAGAATCCCGTTAGTAAGTAAATAGCTTATTCGTGAAATGGTCTAATTTCACTAATCAAGATTTCTCACCAGAACTTAGTGAATCTATTTCGAAGCCGATCATTTGATTTGGATAACATTTGGGGATAATAACTACATAAGTTGCATGGATTTGGGTTTTTTCTGTCTGACTTATTTCACCTAAGCTTATTTTACTAGAAAGAATAAGTGGCATTAATAAAGATTATGCTACAACGTAGCTTGTTCACTAACATTGAATGAATACTAACCATGAAGCTCAATAATTACTACCAATAATCAATTACGGTCTATAGAATACATCAATTTAGTGAAGATAAATCATATTCATCACTTCTGCAAACCAAAGTACAGTTATTTTGACGCTGTTAAATGTGCATAACCAACCATTTATTGAGTGAAGTCATATAGAAACGTTTACTGAGTTGGTGAAAACCTAAATGGAATCTTTATAACTACTTTATACTAGATTGTTGAGCCATAGGTAAACCCATAAATGTATCTATACCTCGAAAATGATCAAATTTATCAAATGATTATCTTATCTATATTTAAACCAAACTTAACAACGTGTTATTGGATGACGCGTCAACGTTTGAAGCATCTGTACTGGGTTTAAGTTGTAGAAGCTGGTACTATTTCAAGCCCACATAGGTTATGAGATAGTGAAGATTTGTAGCTCAGCTGGATGATTTTGGTGGAGTTTTGTTCTCTGATCTGGATAGTTTGCTCATGGAGCTTTCATCGTTCTTCTGAACGACATCATCAGCACAAACCACATAGGTTATTCTAGTCTTTGGATAGACCAATTTATTCATTCTTTACAAGCCACATTTTTACCCTGTCATTTGTTTATTTATTAATCCTGAATGCTATTTATACGATCATATATTTGTTAATTACTTACCCCAATCATCACGTATTTGTAACTTATTTCTGTTTGACTATTATTATCGATTTACACTTGATTAAATGGAGTTGGCTCATTCGCCTATTCTAGTTCACGTCATTTCGTGTCGGTTCGCTCTCTCCACCTCGCTTTTTTACTTCTTCTTCCAAATGTGCCTGGACAAATGAATGTTTGAAATAAATCCCTCCAACGACGCCCGTTGTCATACAAACCAGGCTAGTCTAGGTAATATACGGAGTTAAATGGAAGATTTATATTTATAACATATTCATATGTTCATCTAAATTAGAGTCAGATCAGCCAGCACTACAAATTTATCTCAAAACTAAGTATCAACATTAGGAAGAAAGTACATCCAACTAAACAAATCCCAAATAAGATAAAACGTTCGTCCTAGATTCTACTCTGTAATTAATTTGTTCATCAAATTTATTTAGTTTTCATTATACTACTTCTTCTTCTTCTTTTTTTTCACCTTACATAGAAACGTCGATGTAGTTGGACATTTACTAAAGATATTACTAATGAATTTCAAACAAGTTTAAAAAATGTTTCAAGTGTATTACATTTAGATTGTCCTACATTTGATTTATTTCAAAAATTTAAACATAATCGTGATAAACCATCTGTACTTGAATCATTATCTATGACTGCATTACCATGTCTTATTCCATTAAGACCACGTATTCATTCGGATATAACTAATGATATGACTTCTATTAATGAAGAATTAATTAATAAACAATCGAAATATAAATTTCATTCTGATTTCTATAATATTAAATTAATTAATTTTAAACGAAATAGTATGGGAACAAATGATAAAAGTGTCATCTTATTTGGAATACAAAAAAATAATAATATTAGACTTGTTAAAAGTAATTGGAATTTAACTAATCTATAATTAATGACACGATATTGAAATTCATTACAATTTGCAGTATACTATGTAGAGATTCCCCCTTTATTGTTTTGTAATACCTTAATGATACAATTGTACAAAAATCTATCAATGTTTTATGAATGATATTACTTTCATATGAATGATGTTATTCCTTAACTTATTCATCAATTCTATGATCCATTATATTAGATTGTTATACAGTGCGATATTCATCATTATATCTTGTCATAATATAGTTAATCTTTACTTTTATGTATTTCATTTATGATTGTATATAATTTTTAAATAAACTATGAAATTTCAATTTATAACTAATCTCTTTATTCTTTTTGTACATGTTGAGAATTAGAGAATTTGTGTTAAAGAGGAAGAAGAAGAAGCCATGAATTTTATAGGTTTCATCAGATGTTTGTAATCTTTTTTAAGATAGATGTCATCGATGGTTAACTTGAAATAGATCGTTATAAAAAAGTAGAGAAAGTTAATATAGTGATTGGATCTAGTTAATATAAAACACTTTAATTAGGTTTATTGATATCTGGCACTACTCCATAGATAGATGTTACGGTAATCTTGAAGGAACTGATGATTCCTTGGGAGATTTTATCCTGCTTCACCTAACTTCATAGTCAGAAATACCACCATTGATCTAGTCTAGAGGTGATTGACTTTTTTTGTAAACTGAGATAAATTTACAATTGGTTGATAATCAGTTGTTGTGCTTTCAAGTCCTCCTTATTGTTAAGTGAATTCGATAGATTAGGTTACAATGAATTCACGGCCTAAGGTTTCCTGTAGACTATACCCAACCGTCATATTACATGTCAACATAGTGCACACTATGTTGAGTTATTTAGATTTATAGCCACACTGCGGCTTGATCGATGGAATTAGATCAACACCAAGAAGGAGTTAGCATATATGATATTGGTGATTTGACAATTGTAAACAGAGAGGATTAGATATCTATTTGATCTTCTTTTTGATCTCAACTGTGAGATCATTACTCCATAAGAGTTTAGACATAAAAAAAATCAGATTTCACAAGGAAGATGAAATCAATGGCAGTCAAATAATATCATGAATTGACTAAGGTTAGAGACAAGAACCGTCAAACATCAACTCAGTGGTCTAGAGATAATGAACCCGTTATGAAACATAGAGATCTTCGGTTCGATCACTAAAGAGATTATAGTTGTGCATCGTTAGTGAGCCATATACTAAAATAAAACAACTGTTCAGTCCTTTCTATTTCCAAGTGTTTTAAAAGCTACTAACTAAGACCGACTATAAATAGGAAGACAGTTCGCGTTGTGCATCTCATGTAACTCAGCACTTAGACTGATGATGAATTGTTTCTATTTATCACTTCTGAATTTACCTAAAAACTGTTCTCCTGAATACAATATATCATGAATTACTAAACATCTGCTGAAATATAGAAAACGGAAAATACTAAATACTATTTTGCAGAATCCTCAATATCGGTCGAATTCCATATCAGATAACTTTATAGGTAAACTATAAACATGACTGATTGAAGGACATTTTATAACGGCTGATCAACGTGTGTATTTCAATTCTAAAGATGTTTATATAGTATTCGCGTAACATTGAAAACATCTTATAATAAATTAGATAGTAGTTCCTATCTATTATGGTAGATACATTAGAATAACATTATATGCAGCATTTGGTTTCAAGGTGAAACTCTATATAATGAATTACTCATTAAGATAAATTAAGAATCGTATAACTTTTGTTAACAACTTCTAATTTTTAGAAACTAATGCCAAATGTATTTACAGAACATATGAATTTCGGATAATGTAATGAGAAGGTGAAGATAATCAGAACTATGTGATACGTTAGCGCAATATATTTCGAACAATCTGATCACATTTATATAATATACCCTTGTGGGCCGGTGTAATTTTACATTGATTTTGAAGAGAACCAGACACCATCCAGACTTTCACGTGGCAACCAAAACAATAAAGCTCAAACACTACCCAGGCTTAAAAATTGTAGCACAAATAATACGGCTCAATTCCACTTCACAGGAGAACCAAACACCATATAGGGTTTAACACTACAATCTGAATAGTGCAGCTCTCAATCCTAAGGCGCAACCACTCAGGTGCCGAGCACCCTAGTGGACCATTCGCAACATTCATATACACATTCACGTCACATGTAGATTTATTCTGATCAATGATCGCGTGAATCAATTATGCACATCTCGAACAGGCCAAAGTTGACCTATTCAGCTTACACGACAATCATACTCACCAATGTTTGTAATGGCGATATCCCTTATAATGTCCCAATGACAATGGCCCTTTAGAACACTGAAAAGTAACCACCAGTATGAGTGAAATCGATTAACCAGAAAACCAATTTTACGCACGAACAGTCAGCAAAACTTGGCAAAGTAATGCCGAATCATCCACAATATCAATGACGAACCTCCAGTCTCATATGAGATCTTCAGCTCTACACAGCAATATAATTATTAAGTGCATTACATTTGGAAACTTATAAAGTCAATAAAAAAGTGAAAGGTGAGAAGAAAGAAAGATGATGAAAAAATTAGTTCTAAAAACAATTCACCACATTGAATAACAGACCAATATTACTAGGGTAGGTTTAGGATGAGAACATATAGTTTCGATAATCTTCGTCTTCTTATTACATTTATCAAAAGAGCTAATGATTTTAAATAAGATTTTTGACTAAAATAATTATAGCTTCTTGCTAAAAAGTACTTTCAATGTAGACCTTGATTGATAAACTACTCAAGATGTAAATGGTTTGTTGTAATAGATTTTCGAATCAAATTACTTGTTCATAAACTGTAAGATTTGAATGTTAATTGTTGTATAATTTACCTCAGGTACAGATTTTTATCAGTATGTATGATGGAAGCTTATTTCTTCATTCATTCAATACTAGCTGAGTCAATGATATCTTCATGCTTAGTGTGAAACTGTAAAAATAACACATAAAATGAAAATGAGTAGTTAACTCAATATACATTACACTAGGACGTAACAGCTATCCAATGCTTCCAGGTTTTCAATAGTGGTCTAACATAAATCGATTCATCATCTCAATAAAAACTTAGTAATCTCCAAAACCTTATACTGAACTATAAATATTTTCCAAGTAGCATGGACTCGAATTCATAGATCTATCTCCCACATTGTTTTTATCGTATTATCTGCATGATTGTTTGCACTGTTTCGTGAATTTGCATCTTAAGATTTGCATATATATATATTCCATTTAAAATATCAAATTTTCTACGCCTTAATTTATCTTCAAATAGTCGTGACTAAAGTAGTCATAGGAATAAAAGTGACTGTTTATCGACTATTTAATTCTTTTCAATTTTTGTTTCTAGTATTTTGAACTATTAAAAGGTTCTTAATTTCATTCAACATTAAGGTGTCACGATCTTTCTAATATGACAAGCACACAAACACATACTCAGAAACCAAGAAAGAGGGAGAGAGAGAGAGAGAGAGGAAGATTTGCACGCACGAGTAACAATATGAGAATAATAGTTGAAAGTAGCTAAAAGTTGTTGTTATGATTACACGCATTTTGTAAATTTATTATTTCAGTGAAAGTAAGTGGGATCGTGTTTGTGTGTGTGTGTGTGAGTGAATGAGAGGGAAACGAATGAAAATAAAATAATCTCACTAAAAACACTGTAGATAAAATATGACACGAAATGAATAGTGAAAAATATAATGACATAAGAAATAATGACAAGAATTATATTGTTTGATATGAGATATAATCTTTTATTTTAAGTAATATTGTATAGGGAAAAATCTGTTACATAATTAATCACTATGAAGATGAATTTACGTCATAGATAAGTTCCAAATTTATATGTATATATTCATGAATGATCACAACTGATGAGTCTTATATAATAAATAAGAAAATATATTTAATATTCTTCGATATACAATGGTACTCCGAAGGAAACAGCTTAGCTACTTAGTATGAATAGTCATTCATTACACCTTATTTTAGAGGTAAGCTGTAACACTAAAACTTTGTATATGTTGCGTTATGGTTAAATCACAGGTGAAATAGACAAACAAGAATTATGGATCCTTACTAATCTTCAAATAACAATATATTCGATAAAAAAGTTATCTTTAAACACATAGTAAAGACTACAGTGATCAATTAATTGTGAATACATCTCAGTCCTACAGGAGGGCGGTCACGGCCCAGATAGCCCGATGGTAACGTCTCTGACTGTGAAGCTGGTTGACACGGGGTCGAATCCGTCAGGGTGCTCCAGTTCCCTCAAGATTACGGGTACACCTTGTTGAACAGTGCCAAATAGCACGAAATCCGGGTTCAGGGTTTCCTGTTGACTAGTTCCAACCACCATTCTAAAGACTGCAGTTTTATCAAACTTAAATCAGTAATGTATGGAACATGTCAGATTATATTGTTATTATTATTATTTTCGTAAGAGAATTTTTCGACAACTTTCAATGTCATTGAAAAACACTAATTCAATATAAATTCAAAATCAACTTAGCAATTATTTTTTTCCCAATAAAAGGTTGTGGAGTTTATTGAGCTCAGATTGATATCATGAAAATTATCATGCGCTCACTAGCGACTGACTTCAAAATAGGTTTCCTGGAGTTCTAGTGAGAACGCATAACCAGTGGAGTTCAACAGTGTCTGTTGCAAGGCATTTACCCGCTGAAGACAATGGGGGACGGCCGCGCAATATAGTGGATTGGTTGAAGTTAGACATTAATGCTATTAGATGCTGGCGCAGTGATCTAGATGTTAGACGTTTATGAGTGAAGCTGGATGTCCTGGGCTCGGATCCCGCATGCAGGATTGCTGAGGCGCATTGAAACGGCCGTTCAATGCCTCTAGGTTTCAATGGCGATCTAACAGTAAACCAATTATTTCTTTAATAATTATATCGAATAAACCTTGTTAGTTCGAACTTGTCAAAAATTTTATTCATCAAATGGGGGTATTTGTATTCGAAGATTGGTATACAAGTATATCTAGCTGACAAGTCCTAAACCACATTTCATCTATTCTATGTAGATTTGTGTCATAATAACTATATCAAGGCAATTCATATCGGTTGCACTTATACTAAGTAAGACTGATCAAAATTCATTTAGAAACATCAACAACAGGACAATTCAAGTTATTACAATCTAAACTA